AGTTTGACTGTAGTTACATTCACCAAGGGAGGAAACACCATGAGAAGGAGCAGGAAGGGTATAAAGGGCAAAGGACCTCATGAGTTCAGGCTTTAAAATGTTGAGTTTAGGATACCTATGGCATATCCAGGTAGAACTATCAAGTAGAAAGTCAGAAAAATAAATACACTTATGAGGCTTTTTGAAATACTGATATATTTATTTTAACTAAAACACCTGTATAAGGGGGAAATCTTGAAAGAACATTAAAGTCTAATGGAAAATTCTCTCTTCTGAAAAATACCCTCTGATCATCCCTGGAGTGAATTGTGGACACTCTTTCTTGGCGCTCCAAGAGTAGTCTGTGCACTTATAATACCGTGTTGTAGTTAATTGCTTGCTTGGCTGACTCTTCAGTTAAGCCATGAGCTCCACTATGAACAGCTGTACATAGCAGACCTGTGACTAACAGTTTTGATCATGTCACACCACTCCCCCAATACTAATTTCTCCAATGAGTTGCCACTGCCTAAGAATCAGCTCCAAATGCTTTAGCATGGTATTCAAAGCCCTACATAATTTTGTCTTAACATATCTGCCTAAACAGTCTCTGAGTTCTCTAAACCCTTGAATAAACTCTGCTGAGCCAAACCAGTTATGTACATTTCTGCAGGGTCTGAATATTGATTTTGTCATGCCCTAGAATTACTCCAACTCAGGGGTGATGACTGGCACTAAAAAAGCTCACAAGAGACTGATGTCTAAAATCAGAATGCCAATGAAATAATTTACATTGAGAAATTTAATTGCTGAGCTGAACTGATGTTCATGTTGCCCTGACCAGTTCATTCCTCCCGGTAGGCAAACTAAATGAAAAACCTAATTATCAAAAGATTGCTTGATGAGTGTGGAGTCAGAACAAGGGGAATTACATGAATAGAATGCTTGATGGCATCCCTCTCTGCTAGCCTGTGGTCAAGAGAGCAGGATCCTTACATAGGATCCTTGTATCAATTTGGCTTAGGTGCCCTAATCTGGAGAGTTCTTGGATGGACAGAGTTGTTTGATCATCATTTGTACTTCTCTTTAGATATGATAGTAGATTGAATAAATTTATCATCAAGACTTGCTGGACTAGAAGCCTTACAGGTCTCATTATGGTAACTATCTACGTCTCTACTTTAATTACATGTTAATTTCTAGTTTAACCCTTAGAAAGCAGTGCTATTTTCCAAATTCCTAAGTTTGGAAAAGTGCTTTCCACAAATTAGTAGTCTTCCTTTCTCTGTGACCCTGCCCAGGAATCAGCGCCTCTGACCTCAGCCTCTGAGTGCCCTTCCTCCCCTGTTGCTGTGAACTACACATTTGGTGCACAGTCCACGCTACTTGTGCTTGCTCTTTAGCTTATCATATGCATGTGGGATCTTGTCATCTGGTGTGTAATTTTCCTTGGAGGACAGAGATGTGGATTCAATATTTGTGTGAGTAATTAATAATGAGGTCTAGCTTTTCATTTTTTCTTAGTATACCACTGGTTATGGCACCTATTCCTTGGATGACATTCTGTTTGTAAAAGGTATGGTTATTATTATTACTATTATTATTGAGACAGAGTCTTTCTCTGTTGCCCAGACTGGAGTGCAGTGGCACGATCTCAACTCACTGCAACCTCTGCCTCCTGGGTTCAAGAGATTCTCCTGCCTCAGTCTCCTGAATAGGTGGGATTACAGGCACGCACCACCACACCCAGCTAATTTTGGTATTTTTAGTGGAGACGGGGTTTCACCATGTTGGCCAGGCTGGTTTCAAACTCCCGGCCTCAACTGATGTGCCAGCCTTGGCCTCCCAAAGTGCTGGGATTATAGGCATGAGCCACCATGCCCGGCCAGCATATGATTATTTCTTTCATAGCTATGCTTGAAAATATCAGCATTCTTTAAAATTGCATCCTTTTTTTCAGGATAGTTGTTCTATTTAAAATAAAATGAAACAAACTCCATCTCTAAAACCCGAGATGATAATATGTGGCCTTTATTACAGGATGCCAACTGTAGCAATTTGGACTTTATTTTCCTAGACTTGGATCACAGGCCAAGTAAATGGTCATAACAGTTTAATGACTTTGCCCTAACATAAAAAGAGAGATAAACAGAATAGGCTGAACTTTTTGTATGAGGGACCTGTAAATCTTTGACCTCCCTTGACACAGCGTACTTAGATCCACATCATATGCAGTGTCATGCCCCCTGTAGACACTTTATACAAACTAATTGACTTGAGAAATAATATGAGGTGTATTCCATGATACCTAGTAATGCAAATAGCTCAGAGAACTCTGCTACTACTTTCCTGTTAGCAGAGTATCTTGTTTAGGAATATGAACCCAATATCACACCAATGGCATCTGAAAATGGTAGAGGGTTCTGATAGCATCTTAGCAAGAACTTTAAATAAAGATTTAGAAGTCGTAAAGTTTAAACCCGTAAGTGAAGCCTCACTTACACATGCTGACTATTTTGTCTCAAGTGTGATAATGCTATAGCCGTTACTCAGTCTCCTTTGAAGTTCATCCTTGTATTTATCCCTGGATTCTATGTCACACTGCTTCCTTCCCATTCTTGTTTTCTTTCCTTCACTCCTTAAATAAATGTGTATAGTACCCCTAACTCTATCAGAAGAATTACACTAGTCAGTAATAACACAAAGATGGGATGTTCTTATCCTCAAAAATAAGTGGGCTTATCAGCAGGCTTCCTACAGGCAGTACAGGAAGAGAAACAGTGGATTACATGGTTCTTACCTAACAGAAGAAAGCATACCAATTCTCCATTAAATAAAATTTAGTTAGGTCTACATTATGAGATGAATTTCTCATGTAGCATCTTATCAGAAAGCTTTTATTTCTTAGTTTTCTACGCGTATTCATTTCCAATGTCTAATGCCAAGGGTAATTCTGAATACCTTTTTAACTAATCATTTTTTGATTCTGTTGAATATCAGGGAGAAATCTTGGGGCCTGAATATCTACTTTGTGAAAAGGGCCTGGGGAAACACCATAAACTACCCAAATCATCTTTCCTTGGTTATTGGACAATAGCTCTCATACACCCAGTTCTTGGTAGATGGGAACAAATGAGACACTGAGTTCACCTCTCCTATGCATGACCATTAACCCTTCATCTTTTCTCAAAGCAAATACAGTTGTGTGGTGACTAGGCACAAAATACTGCCCTTGTGAACTGAGAGAAGAAAACAGAACATAGTAGACTGACAAGTAGAGAATGCTGTAAGAGTCTGTCTGATTATCCAATAACATTTTGGATTTTTCAGGAGAGCTGCATGATGTAAGCACAGGTGTTGTTAAAGCCAGTCCTGCTGCTAAAGGCAATATGGAGAGCTGGGGGCTTCTTGCTTGCTCCTGAAGCACCCCGATTATTTCCCCAGTAAGGACAGTATAGAACCCTGCTGCTGGAAACAGTTACAAATGAGCCAACTACGTCTTCCTGTAGTTATGCCCCCGTGGTTTTACAACGCTTTCCTCTGTTCTTGGATTGAAGGCAGAGGAAGGTCTGCCCACAGAATGACCAGTTCACCTTTGAAGGTTTTTGTGGTACCGGAGGCATCACAAAAGGCCCCAGGTAAAAATAAATTACTTTCCTCACAGTGATGATCACAGTCATTTAGACTTTACCTGAACTACCCGGTTCCATCATTAAATTCTACATAATGGAAGACAGGAGATCTCACCTCTTTTGCTACACCTAAAACCAGCCAGGCCTAATTCTGCTTTCTTATCTATGGCCTAAAAACCTGTAATCTGTATTTCCTCTTTCTAAATGTGTCAGCCTATTTATTATAATTATTATTACTGCTGAATCTGATTTATACCTAAAGTTTCCTTGAAGTCAATAGGCTACATTTGATGCTTACAAATAAGTTATTGTAAAATGGATGTAATGATAGTAAAAGTAGCCACCACACTGAATGAGGCTGTTTGTATACTAGACAACAAAATGTATTCATGGTGTTACCATGGAGAGAATGGAGAGATTTTGGACTCATTTTAAAGAAGGCACCCTTATTCTAAGTATGCCTTTAAATGAGTAACCTGAAACAAATGACTTGTTTTTTTTTTTTTTTTTTTTTTCCCACAAAATTAGAACAAACTGAATATACATCTTTTTAAAGCTGGGCTATTACAGGGACATAACAGTAAATGCTAATGTACATACTGATGGTTGACACGTGCAAATGAGCATGCTGATCGCTAGTTCACATCACGGTTCATTATGACATACAACTGCCAGAAATCAAAGTTAAGCAAAAAACAGCCACCAACTGCGTAGTCTTCCCTCCATATGTAGCCATTTTACCAAACAATCCCCTTTGTGATTAGCAAAAAGCTTGCAAATAGAGGCTAAAATAAATAATAAGAGGACTATGAATTACTGGCTAATTTAAAAATGGCACAGAACCTTGGAGAGGGGAGGAAGCACCAGCTGAGATGAGCACATATTTCCCTAGAGCATTTTAAACTATCCTAAAGTGCACACGATGCACTGGTGAATGACTGCCTCTGAGAAAGCACCCTGATCTTGGAAGCTGAGCTGCACAAATACTTGGCATAGAACTCTGCATGGCATGGCAACTCTGCATTTGCATTGGTAAGTCCCAGAGTAAACAGGTGCATAAAACAACCGCTTGAATGAGTTTGCTTCTCTACAAAGTGGTTAAATCTCATAAAGCATTTTTTTCGCTTCTCTTTTTGAAAAGTACAAACACTTAGTTTAATAATGTAAGGCAGTTCATTTGCTAACGGGAGAAGATACTCATGACTCATGGAAAGATTTATTCTCTGTACTTTCCCTGTGTAAATAAGGTGACATTTAGGCAGAAATAAGTCATTGTCCCCTCACAGTAGACATAATTCTCCACTGATTGGAAAATAGTACCTCCCCCATCTCCCAAAGCTTTCTGTGTATGTTTAAAAAAAGCATATTCCCCCCAAAATAATTGCTTACCTGTTGGAAACAGGCCCCTTGAAATCTGGGTCATATGTCCTTGGATCACCTGCATTTAAAACAAAGACCTTTTAAGCATATAAGCCAGCAAATAAATTAATATAAAATATTAATAAACAAATATCTACATATTGGTTAATCCACTGCTCACTGCAGTGATGAATTCATACTTTGGTTTGATGAAACATAAGTATGTCTTGGTTACAGTTGTCAATTCTTTCTCCTCTCTCCAGCTTAGAAGGAGGACTGGGAAGAGTGGTTAAGGAGCATATTCCATACACCTGGTGAATGTATCCTCCCACCATACTGTTCCATACACCTGGAGAATGTATCCTCCCACCATACTGAGCACCAACATTAAAGATTGTATCCAGGATAGCAAAACTTGAAGGCTTTATGGTCTGCAAAACAATTTTACCATCTTCCGTCACCAAGTGTTGCTGAGGACTTGTGAGGTACACAGTTCAGTATGAGATGCCTCCTTATCCCAGCTCTCTCATTCCTCTCAGTAGATTAGGCCTTTCTTTGAGAAGTTCAAATACTAGTTACTGTCTGTCTCTATCATGTTGGCTGTATGGTACATAAAAATTAATGTTCTGTTATAGAAACATTTTTATTGCAGTTTTTTCAATCTACTGGCAGACTTCATGCCATCTGGGAAGGTGCCCTTGTCACTCTGCTGCATTATGATTGTGATATATTACCCTTTTCTTTAAACAGTAAAAGTACACATGGAATGGCTTTTTTCTCCCTGCATGTACTGTGTGGGCAGACCCAGTAACAAGTTATGTAAAGTCGTTCCTGGCCAAAGGTGTGCACTTTGCAGTCCCCAAACTCTTGACTCTTCTCCTACAACCTAAGCACTCCCACCTGTTCCTCTAGGGATTTGTCCCTGTAAAAAGGTCTGGTCCTGAATAAAAGATAAAATTTTCCTGTTTGAGACAGTTGATATGTACTTCAGTACCAAGTTCTCTAGCACACTGTCTGATTCACTGCTTTGGACAGCTTATCTGACTCTGCTTCACTGCAACAGATAGTATTAAAAGTGTTTAAGTCTACTTTATCTGAGCACTGACCATCCCTCTGTCCCCCAATCCACAGGAGTGGGTCTTTAGTTGTGACATTTCTTCTTTGTGCCTGTTTTCTGGCCATGGCCAACTGGATCTGGTTTAGATATTGGATCCAAGCTGGGCCAGTCAGATTCTCAGTCCCACGAATTTAGAATTAGAATGGACAATGAGTTATTCTCAGTGGAAGACGAACTGCAAAATATAAACCTCGAAAATAAGAGAAGCAGAGAAATCTGACTTTCAGAAAGAAATTCTTGAAGTAAATGTTCAAAGAGAAACAGATGATGGTCCTAACAGCCTTTATCTTGTGGTCTAGTTCTTACCTGAAGCTCAGAGTTGAGTTTCATGAGACACCTTATAGTCTTAAACTGTGTTCCCTTTTCTCACTTTTAACTAGTTCAGATTGTTTATATGTAACAAAAGAGCCAAAGAGTCCTATTAACAATTTGCTCTCTCAGCTTACATTTTAACAATTCATTTTAACAACATTTTTTGGATCCTTGCCATGAACACGTGGTGTGAGGATATGAAGAGGAATTTTTCAGACTAAGTCTGCCTTTATGAATCTCATACTTGAATAAGAAATATAAACTCATGTCTTTATAGCAGCATGATTTATAATCCTTTGGGTATATACCCAGTAATGGGATGGCTGGGTCATATGGTACATCTAGTTCTAGATCCTTGAGGAATCGCCATACTGTTTTCCATAATGGTGGAACTAGTTTACAATCCCACCAACAGTGTAAAAGTGTTCCTATTTCTCCACATCCTCTCCAGCACCTGTTGTTTCCTGACTTTTTAATGATCGCCATTCTAACTGGTGTGAGATGGTATCTCATCCTTTGCCCACTTTTTGATGGGGTTGTTTGTTTTTTTCTTGTAAATTTGTTTGAGTTCTTTGTAGGTTCTGGATATTAGCCCTTTGTCAGAGGAGTAGATTGCAAAAATGTTCTCCCATTCTGTAGGTTGCCTGTTCACTCTGATGGTAGTTTCTTTTGCTGTGCAGAAGTTCTTTAGTTTAATGAGATCCCATTTGTTAATTTTGGCTTTTGCTGCCATTGCTTTTGGTGTTTTAGACATGAAGTCTTTGCCCATGCCTATGTCCTGAATGGTACTACCTAGGTTTTCCTGTAGGGTTTTTATGGTATTAGGTCTAACATTTAAGTCTCTAATCCATCTTGAATTAATTTTCGTATAAGGAGTAAGGAAAGGATCCAGTTTCAGCTTTCTACTTATGGCTAGCCAATTTTCCCAGCACCATTTATTAAATAGGGAATCCTTTCCCCATTTCTTGTTTCTCTCAGGTTTGTCAAAGATCAGATGGCTGTAGATGTGTGGTATTATTTCTGAGGACTCTGTTCTGTTCCATTGGTCTATATGTCTGTTTTGGTACCAGTACCATGCTGTTTTGGTTACTGTAGCCTTGTAGTATAGTTTGAAGTCAGGTAGCGTGATGCCTCCAGCTTTGTTCTTTTGACTTAGGATTATCTTGGAGATGCGGGCTCTTTTTTGGTTCCATATGAACTTTAAAGCAGTTTTTTCCAATTCTGTGAAGAAACTCATTGGTAGCTTGATGGGGATGGCATTGAGTCTATAAATTACCTTGGACAGTATGGCCATTTTCACAATATTGATTCTTCCTATCCATGAGCATGGTATGTTCTTCCATTTGTTTGTGTCCTTTTTTATTTCGCTGAGCAGTGGTTTGTAGTTCTCCTTGAAGAGGTCCTTTACATCCCTTGTAAGATGGATTCCTAGGTATTTTATTCTCTTTGAAGCAATTGTGAATAGAATTTCATTCATGATTTGGCTCTCTGTTTGTCTGTTACTGGTGTATAAAGAACTCAAACAAATTTACAAGAAAAAAACAACACCATCAAAAAGTGGATAAAGGATATGAACAGACATTTCTCAAACGAGGACATTCATACAGCCAACAGACACATGAAAAAATGCTCATCATCACTGGCCATCAGAGAAATGCAAATCAAAACCACAATGAGATACCATCTCACACCAGTTAGAATGGCAATCATTAAAAAGTCAGGAAACAACAGGTGCTAGAGAGGATGTGGAGAAATAGGAACACTTTTACACTGTTGGTGGGACTGTAAACTAGTTCAACCATTATGGAAAACAGTATGGTGATTCCTCAAGGATCTAGAACTAGAAGTACCAGCCATTCCATTACTGGGTATATACCCAAAAGATTATAAATCATGCTGCTATAAAGACACATGCACACATATGTTTATTGCAGCACTATTCACAATAGCAAAGACTTGGAATCAACCCAAATGTCCATCAGTGACAGACTGGATTTAGAAAATGTGGCACATTTACACCATGGAATACTATGCAGCCATAAAAAAGGATGAGTTTGTGTCCTTTGTAGGGACATGGATGCAGCTGGAAACCATCATTCTCAGCAAACTATCGCAAGAACAGAAAACCAAACACCGCATGTTCTCACTCATAGGTGGGAACTGAACAATGAGAACACTTGGACTCGGGAAGGGGAACATCACACACCGGGGCCTATCACGGGGAGGTGGGAGTGGGGAGGGATGATTGCATTGGGAGTTATACCTGATGTAAATGATGAGCTGATGGGTGCTGACAAGTTGATGGGTGCAGCACACCAACATGGCACAAGTACACATATGTAACAAACCTGCACGTTATGCACATGTACCCTAGAACTTAAAGTATAAAAAAAAAAAAAAAAAAAAAAAAAAATTCTACTGGCCACCGTGCCAAAGTGGGCCAAAGTTAATTCTACCCACTTTGACAGGAGATCAATCCTGAGAACTTTCAAGGAATTCCATTCCAAAGCAGCTAATTCCGTTAATCTCTGAGACACAGTAATTCCATTTGCATTTTTGTGCTTACGACACTGTATTACAGGTTATCTGTTTACATGTTGTGGTAGATAGAATAATGACCTCCCAAAGATGTTCACATTGTAATCCCTGGACCCTGTAAATACGTTACCTAATATAAGGAAAGGGAGTTTGCAGATGTGAATAAATTAAGGACTATGAGATGGTGAGATTAGCCTGGATTATCTGGGTGAGCCCTGCGTGATCACAAGAGTGCTTATATAGGGAAGAGGGAAGCAGATGGGTCAAAGAAGGAAGGATGACAACAGAAACAAGGTTGGAATGATGCAATGCTAGAAAAACTCAACTGGCCATTTCTGGCTTTAAAGATGTAAGAGAGTCATGAGCCAAGGAATACAGAAGCTTCTAGAACCTGGGAAAAGTAAGAAAATGGATTTCCCCTGGATATCCTGCTAATGCCTTGATTTTAGCTCATTGAGATGTATTTTGGACTTCTAACCTCTAGAAATGTAAGATAATAAATTTGTGTTTTTCTAAGCCACAAGTTTGTGGTAATTCATTACCACAGCAATAGGAAGCTAATACATATGACTATTTATCCTACTGGATTACTACATAGAAATGAGATCTTGGTTATTTCTCTGTTCCTGTTACCTACATTAGTGCCTGTTGTACACATTGCAGGCATTCAATATTTACAAAATAAGTTTTAAAAGAATGTCAATGTAATTTTGATATCCTGTATAATTAATTTAGATTATTAAAATACAACTAGAGGATCAATCTTGTCAGTCACCAGCAAATCACTTTAGATAAATTCAACTTAGATTAAAGGAAGTTAATAGATTCCTAGAAGTGCACTGATGTGAAAAATTACTCCCCTTATCACCAACATGAATTCAGTATCTGATTGTAATGTTAAGGCAAGTAGAAGCTAACAAAGGAAATAAGGGAGAAAGTATCCCACACTGGTGAATAAAAATTGGGTATCAAATTAACTGGTATAAAATGTTATTTCTACCATCTATAAGCAGTATGATCGTGGGAGAATTACTTTTTGCTCCTCTAACCTTCCATTTTGTCATCCATAAAATGATAGATAGCGGAAGGGAAAAAAGTTTGTAAACAATTTC